CTCCCCTCTCTTCTTTCTCGTTCCCTTTCTCTGTCTGTCTCCCTTCTCTCTCTCTCTCTCTTTTTAACGATAGTGATCAAATGAACTTAAAGTTCATTTGTTACTCCTCTTAAAGTTATTTTTAATCTAGGCTTTTATCTGAAATTGCAGAATGAGAGATTTTTGTCCTCCATTTACCTGGGAACCTCAAACATCCGAAGGGCTGTGCAGCAACAGTGTTGGGAATGACTGATGTCTGGAAGTGGTTATGTGAGTTCAGGCCCATCCATGCAGTGTTGAACTCTAATAACTACGGAAGCCTGCTGCGTATCCTGCTTATAGTTCAGACCTGTGGGTAACATTTAATCAGGACACTTTTTGGGTGTGTGTGACAAGGTCTTGCTCTATTGCCAGGGCTGGAGTGTAATGGCTCAATCATAGCTCACTGCAGCCTCAAACTTCTGGGCTCAAGCAATCCTCCTGCCTCAGCCTCCCTAGTAGCCGAGACTACAGGTGTACCCCACCATGCCCAGCTAATTTTTGTATTTTTTGTAGAGATGGGGTCTTGCTCTTGTTCAGTCTGGTCTCGAGCCTTGTCCTCCCATAATGCTAGGGTTACGGGTGTGAGCCACCGCACCTGGCCTAGGCTGTTATTTTTAATACACTCAGAGATATGCCCTGTCCCGTGGCTACTAGGGGCCTTCTGCAGCTACTAGGGCTCAGCAGCACTGCATGGGTGGGCACAAACTAACTGGACCACCTTCAAACACCACTCATGCCACACAATGTGGCTCTTCATAGATCTGGTATCAGTGTCAAAGATTTTGTTCTATCAGATTTCTTGGAATATATTTATCATGAGCCCTGAAGGGCAAAGAGATCAAATTAGTCAGTGTTCATGCTGTTTTTTCCTAGAAAGCCCTACCTTTCCCTTTTGTGCTCTTTTACAATGGTTCTTTTCTTCGCTCCCCAGAGAGACTCTGAAAAGGAAGGCCAGTGGGAGCAGTTGTGCCAGCCCTGTAAATGGTCCCAGTTCAAAGCGGGATGGCCACTTCTGTGCAGTCTGCAGCGATTATGCGTCGGGATACCACTATGGAGTCTGGTCCTGTGAAGGATGTAAGGCCTTTTTTAAAAGAAGCATTCAAGGTACAAGGGTGTTGTTAACTGCTTCTCCAGTTTTCCACTTTAGCTTTCAAACAATTTTGCAGAGATGACTTGGCAGAAATTTCACCACTGGCCTGTTTGTTACAAAAAGTACGTGATGAGCAGTTCAGAGGATCATATGTGTTTGGCAGTGGGTTGGGTGATGGGGTGGATTGTGTAAGTGCAGAGCACTTTATCTTTAATTGCAGATCTCTACCTCAGAACCTCAAGCTTATAAAGCCAACTCGAACGGGTCTTGCCCCCACCTTCACCCACAGGGGTGCTGGGGAGAAGACATCTAGTTACAACCTTGTGAAGATGTTGCGTGGAAGAAAACCTGTGCTCGTTAGGAGTTGC